TCTGGAAGGAATACAGGGCTAGGGTTGCTGGTCAGTTGTGGGTGGAGTGTCAGAAGTGCCAGGTACATTGACAGAGAGGACACCAGGGCTTCCATTACCGAGATTCCATTACAAGGTAATACCCTTAGAAGATAACACAACCTTCCCATTCCTGCCCATCCCTAGCAATTGACTCCAATTTCATGGTACTTTTATGGCAAAAATGTTTTGTGTCTTTGAGAAGTTTTCTTCCCATAGAATGAAAAGCTAGACTGTGACCAGTGGAAGAGCAGGTACTCTACAGGGGAATACCAGCCTGTGGGGTCCAGTCCCCACAAATGTCCACTGCTAGTATCCACAGCGACCTCTGCTGGGAGAAAGTCAAACCAAGGAACAATTTGACAACCAATTCTCTGCCTTTTGTAGAATCACAGAATAGGGGTGGGCATTGTTAAGTCAAACCACAAACCTTTCTACTTGGGGGCTCCCTGTCTACCTTTGGAGTCCTGAGTTGATGTTCTTGTCTGCAGTTCCTTCAAGAGAGTTCAAGCAGTGGAACTGCTGATGTCTTCACTCCTTTGGAAATGTTTAAAGAGGACCTGAAGGCCTTTGTGTTTCTGTTCAGTTGAGGATGGGCATCAAATTCATTCATGAGGACAATGCATGGAAAACATTTATCAAGTTCAGGAAGATTCAGACATCTTCCTGGTCTCTCTTCTATCTTTACTGTTCCCTTCCTATCTTTTCCTGTTTCTCTTTTATCCTCTTCTCTTCCTCATTAAATTATTCAATAACATTTTTCAAAGACAAGTATTCTTTTCTTCAATATGATATGGCCTAGAATATGCAGACATTTGGAGGCTATTACTAAATGCAGAAAGCTTGCAAACACTGGCTCTTCCAGAGATAATGATAGGAGTGGGGGGGTGGTAGATAAAACATGCTTAGTCCTAAATGCTCACCTGGTGACAAGTGTCTCTTCTCCTAGAGTCACTCTGAAGGGATTTCATGCTGTCACAAAATCATTAGAGCTCCTCAAAGAAAAGGATGTATTTAAATACCTGGCATTGTTCTTACTTTGGCATCCATGTGATTTGCATTGAACTACGTGACTCAGTATCATAAAGTAAAAATAGGACTTAATTTCTTCCTCGCCTGTTTGGAAGGTGACTGCACATAGTGTGTTGTGTTCTGCATTGGAGAATGAAAAGCTAAATTACCTCATAAATTGAACCACCTGCTTATCCTGATTAGAGAATGGTGCTTAACATCACCTACAGGCAGTAACATTATTTTATGTTTCTTTTAATTCATTCCTGAATCTTTGTCTTGTAAAACATTTCCTCATGCTCATACATTATTACTTTCATTTGAGGTTAATCAAGAATGTTTAATCCTGTACTGAAGCCAAACAAATTAAATATCAGCAGATACAGGAAGATGTGGGTGGTGTTTCTGTTCTTTTTGGGCTCAAAAAATTCTTGAAGTTCACAGGAAAGAAAAAAAAGGACTCTATAGTTCAGTAAATCTTATGGTGGATTTATGGCTTTCTGAGAAGAGGCCCCATAGAAATTTCCAGGAGGGCTGGTCATGTTGAAGAATCTGAACATGCATGCCAGTGTCCGCATGCATCTAAATGTGAGCATGCATGCTGGGAGTGAGACTGCAGCCCCTGGGATTCCTAAATTATGGCATTAAAGCAGCCTTTCTGGGGAAGTTCCCCAGGTTCTTCCTGCTCCCGCTCCTCTCCCACAGGCAGATCACAGAATTGCTAAGAAGTGGAGCTGTCCAAGGTTCTGGAGCACTGGCCTCAGTCAGCCCAGTGGGAAGAAGGGATTATAGGGCATCGAACTGAAGCAAGAGCTGGGGGCAATGGCCTCTGGGAGGATTTCCCTATAGTTGATCACAGAACGGAATAGGAGGAAACAGCTGTAGAGGCTTTTACCACATCACTTTGAATGAACCCATCGGCAATCTCTATTTAAAGAATTACAAGCTAATAATAAGAGGAAACATTTTCTGAGTCAGGCTCTTCACATGCAAGAATGTATTTAATCCTCACAGTTCTATGAGGTAGGTGGTGGTGTTATTCCCACTTTCAAGATGAGGAAACAAAACTTTTGGAGAAAAAGGGCCTACCCAAGGTCACACAGAAGGGCAGAGTTTAGGTTCCATCCCGAATCTCTTAAACTCTGGAATCCCTTCCTTACCACATTTACTCCCTGCTGCTATTAAGGAAGAAAAATTGAAATACTGGACTGTCTTATATAAGGTTCTAACCAAATTTTAGAGAAATGGAATTGGAAACCAACTAGGATTCAGACATAAATCACAGAGTCCTTTCAAGTTCAGCAAGGATATTGCCATTCTTTACGTCTTATCCTCATAAAAAGGTTTGTTACCTGAACGTTGTTACTAAAGAAGAGAAAAAGGACAATGTTATGACCCTCATGGCCAGTAGCACAGCATTTTCTTTCTAGAGTGGAAAAATTTCACAGTAAGCCAAACCCAGATGGCAACAAAATGGTTTTGGTCTTCCTTCCTTCCTTCCTTCCTTTTTCCTTTCTGTCTTTATTTTTTCCTTTTTAAGAAAGTAAGGAGGGAAAAAAAAGAAAGTAAGGAGGAAAAAATTCCATGAGGAGACTGTTATTTTTGTCAAAGAGTGCATGTAGAGCCAAAGAAATAGGTCTTATCTTATTTTATAGCATCCTGTTCCAAAGCTAAGGACACCTGGATATTGTTAGAAGACTCCTTCCACCTATTTCCAATCTCAGATTTTCACAGCAAAGCTTCTGACACCCAAATAAAGTTTTCTCTTCTGTGGGCCTCAGCAAAACTCATGGAAAGATCACATTCCTGTCATCATGTTATCACAGCCAATATTCTACCTTCATATATGGCTGCAAGACTCCTGAAGTTGGGCAGGTTGGGGCTTGGTGAACTTCATGCCATGTGTCCTCTGGTCCTCCTAGGGTGGCAATTCCAACTTCTCCAGTCTTGCCACATACACAGGGGCTTGTGCTTGAGAATTCCCCATTTAGTAACTATAGGTTTGGGTATCCAATGGGGGTAAGAGGAATAAAATAGTGTTCTTTCTCTTCTCTCTGGACTTTGGTCTGTACAATACTCAGATAGGCAGCCTGGCCTCTTAAGAAAATGCCTCACATCAAACTGGATCTTCACTTCATTTTGAGTGATTTCCTTTTCCTTCCAGGCTGGGACTTTGCAGAGCTCTGACGCAAGGCTCAAAGACAGCTATTGCATTTCCCTAGGGCACTTGGAGGCCAAGGACCCAGCTCCCCATCTGGGTCTGCTCTGACTCATATGACCAGAGACAGATTTGATTGTTTTCTTATTTAGAGTCATTAATTAACTCTCCTCAGCATCAGAACAGCATGTAATAAGAGGGAGGCCATTTGTGAGGGTCTCTAGGCAGCCATGCCTAGGGCTGAGCACCTCTTCTTTGCTAACAGGAGCAGAAAAAAATTTTAATCCTGGATATAACCCTTCATAAAACTTAGATTATCAATACTTCATCCAATATAAGTAAGGAAGCAGAAATGCATGCAGTTGCTAAGGCTGCTGTAGTTATTCTGACAATAACTGGGAAGGTTAGGGGTCCCTTATAAGAGGACTGGAATTACATTCATTCAACAGTTATCCTTGTGCCTTAGGTGTGCCAGGCACAGAGGTGTGCTCAGAAAATATAATCCCAACTTGGCATAGGCCCTATCATATAGAAATATTGAGCAGATTGAGAAGGGAAAAGATGCAGAACCCTTGGAAACTATACTCTGCTATAAGCAGAGTTTTTTAAAAAATAATCTTTAGAATCATAAACCATCATCTCTTATATTGTAATGAAGGAGGCTGAAGGAATTGGAGGGTTGCTCCGCCACAATCCTAGTTAGTTGCAAAGATGGCTCTTAGAACCAAAGTTTTATAATATCTAACGTATGTTCTTTCTACTATTCTAAATTGCTGGTCTGTTCATCAAATTATCCAAAGGGCACATTTCCATTAACATAGCCTTTTTAAAATCCAATTCTAATGCAACAGCCAGATTTAAAGTTGAAAGAGAAACAAATGATAAAATAGGAAAAGTAGAAAGCCCATCTTTATCCATTGTCCAATATGGTAGCTGCTAGTTGACTACTGAGCACTTGAAATGTGACCAGGTTGAATAATAATATTTTGTATATATTGAGTTAAATAAAATTCATTTTAAAAATTAATTCCACGTGTTTTTTTAACTTCTTTAATGTGGTTTCAAGTTTATATGAGGTTTGGGTGCAGCTCAGTAGTAGAGTACTTGCCTAACATAGCTATCGTTCAATCCCCAACACCAATACCAACACCACCATATATATATATATATATACACACACATATATATACATATACAGAGAGTCATATACACATATGAATATAATTGTATATGTGGCTTGCTTTTATAGCCACATCTTATACTTCTACTGGACAGTGCTATCCTAAATTTTTCCATTTTGGAGGAAATTTTGTTTAAAAAACTGATGCATTTAGCAAAGTAGATTCTATAATCCATGTGTCTGAGATTGAATCCTGGCTCTACCATTTGGGCTGTGTGACCTTAAACTTTCATTTCCTCATCTACAAAATGAGGATGATAACAGCCTACCTAGGTCCTAGCTTATGAGTTAAATTACTTAGAACAGTAACTGGCCCACAGTTAACATTTACATAATATTAACTGTTGTTAATAAAATAAGTTTATAGAATCTTACAAGACAGGGCAATGGGAAGGAGAACAAGCAGGCAATTTTCAAATAAATTAAACAAAAAATTTACTGCTAGTTAAAACATGATTGAAAACACTTGCTAAGTGTAAGTCATGAGTTATTGTGATGTGGCTGCTATTTTCTGGCAGATATTGATGCTGAGGAAAACTTTCAAGCCATTTACATAAGCATACAATGAATAAACAAATTAGCTAACTGCATTATGCATAGGTCTTGCCTTCTGCTAATGGGTTGAGGAAGAGGATGTTTAGAGGGTATTTGTACCAGATGACTCAAGAGCTTAAGTCTCTTGGACTCCAGGGTTCCTCAAAGGAATGATACAGTTATCCTCTGGGGACAGGAATCAGACATACCGAAGGTCAAGCTGTTCTGCCATTCCCATTAGCTTTGGTCAAAACACTGGTTCTCAGTTTCTTCTTCTATATATGATGGAAATCACACCAAATCTCTTGCAAGCTGCAGTAAGGAGGAAATTAGATAATGCAAACAAAACACCTGATACATAGTAGGCATTCAACAAATGGTAGCTATTACTAAGTGGCACTTTGGGTGCTCCTAATAAAGAACTCTCTGTTCTATAGTAGAGAATTTTCTGTTCAGAATCTCCAGAGCCTTTTCTATAATTCTGCTGCTTTATTCCCCATCCCCACTTGGTCCCTGAGGGGCTGAAAGGCGTTTCACCCAATTAAGAGTGTCTACAGCAAAATGTAGGGTCTCTGCAGCTTTGAGCACACACTACACATTTTTTTTATGTTCTTCTCTATCCAGTTTACACGTGTGGGGTTCTTTTTCTGGAATGATGAGGCAAACAGCAAAATGGGTACTATTCTCCATCTCATTTCTCCTGAAGTTCTGACACTGACCTTGGTGTTTAGAGCATTTTACATGCAGCTTTATTTTTTAAACAAAGGACAAACATGGAGAGTGGAGCTCTAGAATCATGTTCTTTTGCCTCCCAGGGCAGCCATGAGTCCATTCACTGCTCATTGTTTCTCTCCTTCCAAAAGTTTGACTTTGGAACCAAAGAAATACAAGTTAAACTCAGTGAAGATTTATGCTATCAGAGCATGTTAAACTACAGAGAAAATACTCAGTTCCATAGGAAGTGTGGGAAGTGCTTTAGCAGGACACCAATACAGTCAGATTTCTTGAATCAACATATGATGGGTGGGAGGTGGAGAGGACCCTGGAGGTGGGCTCACTCCAGTTCTGTTGAGAGGCCCTGGTTTCCAGGGACCAAGTGCCAGTGCTAAGTTTTGGGGAGATAGTCCAGACTTGACATGCATATTTTCCCAATCTTTTTTGTTCACTCAACAAATGCTGAAGAATATGTAGCTGGGGTGGCAATATTTTGAGAATCTTTGCCCTGGAGAACCCCAGGGTCTAGCAAGGGAGAGTAGAAGTGTCCATGTGCAGAATGGGCCAAAGAGCAAAAGCTGGATTAACCAAAGGAAGCTTGGTTTAAAGTGGGTTGGCCATGGCAGTAGGAAAGCTGTGGAGCCTAGTCAGTCCTGAATCTGAATCTCATTTTTACCAACAAATACATGGCTTCGGGGAAGTACTTTAAGCTTTCTGAGCCTCTTGGAGCAACAAAACTAACTTCTCTAGGTTGTCAATGTATAAGCAAATGTTTGGGATAATACTATTTATTAAGAAGTTACAGTGGGTCAAGCATTGTGCTTGGCACATTATATGTATAAAAAAACAACCATTATTATCCCTGTTTTATAGCCAAGGAAAATAATGGCTTTGAGAAACTTGTTCAAGATCACAGTAACAGGTGACACTGGGACCCCACCAGAATCTGACTGCAGAGATTACTTTTAGCCACTGTCATCACTGCCTCTGTGGTTGAAGGTCAGCAAGAACCCAGGAACTATTTGAAGAAGGAAGAGATAATTGTGGTTAATTGCTGAGACTGGCTTTAAACTCGTGAGCCTCCTGCCTCAGCCTCCCCAGGCGCTAGAATTACAGGTGTAAGCCACCACACCTAGCCCTCTGCTTAGTCTTTGGGGTGGATACAATATGGAAAAGCTCTCAGGGGTGAACAGAGTGGGAAGAGAAGGTAGGTAAAAGCCATGAGGAAATGAGCAGGGGCAGGAGTGCCAATGGTGTGTTCTGGAGGCAATGAAATGGAGAGGAATTTCCACAGGAAATAGATGTTTGGAAAGCCTTGAATGTCAGACTAACAAGTGTTAGAGAACCAAACATGTTCATTGGCAAAGAAAGGGATGTGAAACCTGAAATCACCAGTGTGGGGCATCTCACTGCAGGTGGGCATTTTATTGCAGTGTCGAGCATGCTCACCAAGCCAGAGTTTGTGCAGGGCATGGCCAGATAGTGCCACAGTCCAGCATCCCTACTAGGGCTCTTCACTTTTCAAAGAATTTGCATGGCATTTTCTTTCATTTGGTCTTTACAAAGCTGCAGGCAGGAGAAGGATGGGCAGCCTGCTGCAAGGACTGCTGCCTGTGTCAAGTGGCAGGTTGCAGAGGCTGCCAGGAAGCACAGATGCCAAGAACAGCTGCGGTGCCCAAATCCAAGCACAAAGCTTAGAAGAGGCCTTCTCTGCAAGGGAGAAGGCAAAAGATTTGCTTCCTGGCCTCTGGCGCTTTCCCTGTGCTCTAGAAGACAGGTAGTTTTGTCATTTGGTTTGTGATACCCCAGTGACACCCCCAAGTGGCTGCCACCCAGAGTGGCTGCTGTGAGAATTTTGAGTCCAGGTTATTACAAATCCCATGCCCTTTCTAGATGCACCACCCCCCAGTCAGTGGCCCCTCCCATGCAGAGAGCTTGTTTTACAAAATATTTTTCTGGTCTTGCCATCTTAAATTCGTTCTGTTTATTTCTCAATAGGCAGCAGGGGCTGGAAACCAAACCCCATCCTCCATAAGCTGGTTTGAAGGAAAATCTATCTTTTCTAATGACTGCAGTCACAATCTGCACCAGATTTCTCTCCATGGCTACGCTTCTAATAACAATGGAAAACAAAGGCAGAAAGGGAAAAGGGTGAGATCGGCAGTTCTTCCAAGAGGCACCTGCAGTTCTGTGGAGGATTCGAGGCAGTGGGGAGGTAACTTTCACAGCTATAAGAGAGTCCCTTGATGAGTAAAAGAGGAGTTTTGATGTGCAAGATGATAGAAGATGAAAGAGATCATGGTGCCTCATTGTGTTCTCTTTGAAAAGTCATGCTAGGATTCCAGGCACCCTCCACAGTTCTAGAATAAATACAGGGTGGGCCAGGAAAGGAAGATTTTGCCAAGTTATCCAGGGCTAAGTTCCTATGTCTAGAAACATGTCACTAATGAGAAATGACAAACCCTGGGTACTAGAATGATAAAGGCTCATTCGACCTTTGACCCTAGTAACAATTAACATGTGTCTACACAGGCTAAATGTGACAGGGCCAAATAGTCAATTCTGAAGAACAAAACCAAGCTGGGAAATCAGAAAAATAATTAAAGGCCAGATGTTTAGAATGGCTGAGTGTCAGAAAATAGGGCTGTGTGGTAATTTCAGAGTGACTTCATCAGCCAGGCCCCCTTTGCTTGACTGTTCTGACCCCAATGTTCTGACATGCCAATTCGTAAAGGTTCCTGCACAGGAAACAGCTCCAGGGATCAGCCTCCAGCACAGGGCCTGGTACACAGTAGGTGCTCAGCAAGTGCTCATATCTGTGGACAAACCTGACTCCTAGTCTGTGATATGCCCTATGCCATGCATTTGAGACATGGAAGTGAAGAGATAAATCCCTGTCCTCATGGAGTTAATTCTAAAACAGAACGAGGAGTACAGTATAGGAAATGTGCAAATGAACACAGCCATCTCATGATGATGCCTTCTAAGTGCTTCCTTGTACCTCTGAAATAATATAACTCAACAGGTGAGACAAATTGGAAACTTAAAAATACTACATATCTTATCTCACATCAGATCTGAGCAGACCCAGCTGTGGAGCCTGGGGTAGCAGCTTAAAGGCAAAGGAGGCAAGAGACCGGCTCTTGAGACACTTTGCCTGCAATTAGAACATGCTGCCACCAGGGGCACCATGAAGTAGTGTGACCTAAACAGCCAGGCTTCCTCCCAAAGTATGGTATGCTGAAAAGAATACAGTGTTTCCATTCTTAACCTTTAGAAGGACAAAATTTTAAATTGACTTTTTAAAATCTACTTATTTGGGGCTGGGGTTTGGCTGAGTGGTAGAGTGCTTGCCTAGCATGTGTGAGGCACTGGATTCGATTCTCAACACCACATATAAATAAGTAAATAAAATAAAGTTTCATCAACAACTAATAAAAATATTTTTTAAAAATTTACTTATTTTTATTTATTTTAATTGACATAAATATTTCCATATTAATGGAGTACGGTATGATCATTTAATACATGTTTATAATTTGTAATGATCAAATCAGAGTAACCAGCATTTCCATCATAAAAGAACTATAGTACATAGTTGCATATATATAGTGAGTGGAGGCTTGTGAATTCATCAACATTCATTTAACAAAATCCATTGTGTACCTACCGTGTACAAAGCACAGAACTGCGTTTCTGCCTGCAGGTACTCAGCCTGAAAGGAGGACAGACAGAGACAGATAATTACTGTGCAAGAAGATAAGTAGTCTAATGGAGGGATGGGCAGAGAGCATTGGGAGCACAGAGGAGTGACTAATTCTGCTGATGGGAATTCAAACACACACACACAGACACAAACACACACACACACACTTATGTGTATTGGGCCCAGGTGTTAACACCTACTTTAGAGAGTTATATCAACATACATATAAACTATATGTGTATAGGGGAAACACATTGGCGCTTGCTGCAAGAAATTTGGATTGTTCTATTGAGTGGGCATATCGCCTACATCTCTGGACCTGTTTCCTAATCTAATCCTCTGAGGACTTGGCAGTGGTCATCTTGATCATGTGGGCTGGAGCAGCACAGAAGTTAGAATGATGACTTTGATCTCCATGGACAAGACCTGGCTTTGTCCAAGCCCTAAGGCTTCCTTGGCACCTGCTTGTCTAGACCCTGGTGATGCTACCTCTTAATTCTGGCTGAAATATTTCAAAGGATCTCAGCCAAGGTTCTGGTCCCAGAGGAATTCATGAGGCATCAGCCTCTGGTGTCTGGTGGGAATGGCTAGCTCTCCTGAAGTGATATTTGGCTTCACCGCCCCCCAGAAGCCAGGCTGGCCCTACCATAGCGCCAACTACTGCATGTACTATCCTACCCACTTCTCACCAGAAAGTCTTCTGATCTCTGACTTGTCTCTGAGGCCACTCTCAAGAAAACCTTAGAGGATTGCTATGGCAAGCAAGTCCCATCCCTGTTTCCCAGACCCCTAGAAGACAAGGGCCTTCACTCTGGAGCAGGCTATCCCCCATAGCCAGCCCACACCCCGCCTTTGCCAGCCCCAACACTCTCACCCCATCTGTGGGCACTGAAGTGCCACCTCTATGTTAGGGGAATCAGAGGAACAACCATCTTATTTAAAAATACATATACATATATGTGTACATATCTATCCATATATACACACACACATACACAAGAGTGTTTAAACAAACCATTTAAAGCTGCTAATTGCACTGTAAAGAGTTTTAATATACAATATATTAGAGCCATACCCTTAGTAGACAAAAAAAAGTACTGAAAAAAGCCCTTACTGAAAGCCCATTTACAAGTCTTTAAAAGGATCTTTTAAGATAAGTTGTGTGCCCTGGAAATTGCACACCTGAGATGATATACCTTGAACCACCTGTCTGGACCGGAGCCCTCTCAGGCTCCCTACATCTTCACTGTGGTCCTTCAGCCCTTGGACCCTCTCTCTGCAAAGGGCTCATCTCTGCCAGCTAGGAGCAGATATGCTCAGGCTACCTTTCATAATGAAGGACCAGCAGAGAAGCTTCCATACATAAGTGGTGATGAGGACACCTCCTGCCTTGACAAACACATTCACCCTCTGGTTAGGGCCTAGATGGTCCCTTCACTCTCAGGAAGCACTGAGGTGGCCCCCAGGAGTGACCTACCACTCTCCTGCTCCAGGTACACAGGACTCCCTTCTGGGAGTTGGCAAACAAAGAAAAATCAACAGAAGGCCTTTAAACCCTTCTGCCAGGATGTTGAGGATGTCGCCTCCACCAAAGGAGATGAGAAGGGCAGGCTGAGATAAGCAGAGCTGCTTAGAAACCGAACACAGAGACAAATTAAAACATTCATTGGAGGCAAGAGAAAGCAGATCAGTGGAGTGAGAAACAAGATGTCTCCCTTCCAGATCACTGCAGAAGAGAAAAGAAGAAATCATCAGTGATGGCTCAAAAGTCAGAAAAGAAAGGAGATGCAGAAAACATAAAACATGATGGCAGGAGGCCATCCAGAATAGTTATGACAATAAGTGTAAGCATTTAACATTCCCTTGATAGAAGACAAAGGTTCCCAGATTGAATTAATACAAGAGACTTACCTAAAATAAAACGGCTCCAGGCTAGGCAAAGCTTTACCAGGTAACCACAATCAAAAGCAAAAGCATGAGTGGCTATATCAGACAAAGCACAACTTAAGGCAATAAGCAGCGTTGAACAGGATAAAAAGGGTAATTTTATATTCATAGGAGCAATTGTGAAGGCATAACTGTTCTGAACATTTGTACACTCAGTACTTTAGCATCAAAATACATGAGGCAAAATCTGTTACAAGAAATACAAGAAGCTAGCCAAATGACAGTTGTGGGCATACATTTACATACTACTCTCAGAACCTGACATCAAGTAGCCAAAACATAAAAATAGAAAGAAGTCATTTAATAAAGATTGAATTAAAAAGTGGGTACTGAGCGTGGTTTCCATCTGAATGATGTTTGCCATGTTTTAAAAGACCACCCTAGATGGATGCCTGTGATACAAATGTTAAATTTAGTACAAATTTATATATACACTATAATTATAATTGCAATTTTTTAAACCCTAAACCACTGAAAGAAAATATACCAGATTTTCACATCTGGTGTGTTTAGAAAGGTTGAAATTTATATATTTAAAATTTTTTGTTTCCACGTTTTCTTCCAATGTTCTTCAGTGATCATATAATATTCTGACTAAAAATAAACTTTAAAAAAGGATGGAATAAGATTCATCCTCATAGAACAGGGTTTTCTAATTTCCAAAAATTTGAGACAATATATTCATGGGGAATGGATAAAATATAACAAACAAGGGCAGCAGAAGGAATCCCTGAGGGTCCCAGACAGTGCACAGCCTGGCAGGCCCTCTTGGTGCCTCCTCAGTTACTCCCTGCACGAAACCCTCTGTTTCTTTGCCCCAGGGCACTGCATTCTCTCCACTCGGCTTCCCAGCCTTCACTGGGCCTTTTTCATCTACACATCCTCCACTGGTAGCTCAAATGTGATTGTTCCAAGATAAGACATATTGGGATCCCCCACTTTCCCTCTCTACCTGTGCCCCTGATGATCTCATCCATTCTTCTACAGGGACATAGCTCCTCTCTATATGTGAAGGACTCCCAAATTCATCTCTAGCCCCAAACTCATCGTAGAACTTCTGGGGTATACATCAGCTTGTAGACTGGACATCACCCCATGGAGTGTGGGACAGGAATGGTGGGCATGCCTGCACTCATAGCCCTCTGAGTACCTGAGGGTGCTGCATAGAGATGAGTGTGAGGCAGGGATGCCCCCAGGGGTGGTAATGAGAGCACTTAGGCATCCCCAGTCAGATGCAGAAGAAGGTTCCCACGAATGAATCAGAATAAATCATCGCCCACTCTATGCCATCCAAAAATAAAACCAATGTCTCTCTCTGACTTATGGGAATATGAACTAAGGTTATTGCAGTAATCAAGAAAAGCAACAAAGGGAAATTTTCAGAGCTGGGACCAAAATCTCCTGCCACTTGGAATGTTCACCCTGAACTCAAGTTTTCTTCTGCCCAACGCATACATCCAGCTGCCAATTCAAGGGACAGACTCCACCCTGCTGCTGAGATGTGCGGGTCAGTGGTTTCTGGGCTGGCCTCCTGACTTCTCAGGGCAGAACAGAAAGACTGTAAATACCCTAAAGTTTTTAATTTACCAGTAAAATGAGTGAGGATGAGATCAGGTTTTTAGCCCACTGATGTGGTATGTTAATTTAAAGGCTTTTGTAACTAACTACAAAGTACAGTCTCTTTTGAAAAGAGCAAAAATAAACTTAAAGTACTAATTCGAAACATATATTCTTATCAATTTCAGCTCTAAGTACATATTCTCATTGGAAAGTAAATTACTTTGAGAGCTTTCTAAAATTATTACATATAATTTCTCTTACTTTCCAAGGTCTGGGTTGCTATCCAGTTACCATTTTATTTTAAGAGTCAAATGTGCATGAGACCATTCTTTGCGAAAGGTTTCATGAAATCCTATGCAGGTATCTGGCTTCAGAAAAGAGATGTTGCTAAGTAACCTTTAGCAAGTCACTTAACTTTTCTAATTCACAACCTCCTCTTAAAATGAAAACATTACCTCCATAAAGACTGTTGAAACAAAAATCATGTTTCTTAAGTAAAGTGCCTGGTACAGTGTCTGTCTTGCAGCAGGAGCTCAGTAAACAGCAGTTATTCTTCTCACATCAGACAGTGGTTTTCAATCTCCCTATTCCTGTTCCATGCAGGAGCATGATTGAGAATACAGGTGGGAAAAATCTCCAGGTTTTTTGTATAATTCACAGAAAGACAGCTCCAACTTCACATCCCTTCCCCTCTCACTCAAGAAACATCAGAAGGCACTGATTTTTTTTTTAAACTGTGATTGATGTGATTATAGGAACAGTTCCTGGCATCTTTGCTTATTCATTTTTAAAGTAACTTAGCCACAAACTTTATTATTTTATCATCAGTAACAAATAAATGGGAATGAACTAATGTCTAAAAAATAAGTCCCAATTACCTGAGAACTTATTTTCATAAAACCAGGCCTATTATAAACTTCCCTGGGAGTCAGCAACCCTGACAGCTCCCCCTTGCCTCAGTCAGACTCTCAAGCAATTGGGTACCTAGGGCCACATTCTCTTACTCCCTCAAACCCCATCCTCTCACTGGTTTGATGTCTTGCCTTTAGCTGACAGTTAATAAATGTTTCATGAATAAATGCATCTGCTCTCTGCCCCCACTTTAGTACCTCCCTGCACCAGGACTGGCAAATGTGCGTTATGAGCCAAAATCAGGTCAGATGACCTGGCTTCCAGCAATAATGTGCACAGAAGGCAAATGATTAAATAATGCATGTCTATCCACTTGACACGACATTCTGCAGCCACTGGAAATGATGCTCTCGAAGACTGAAAGGCCACATGGAGATGCATCTAACATTAATTGAATAAATAGACCATAAAGACAGTGTACTGGTCCTGCCATTACACATATGGGCCCAGATTGAAGGGGAAGACCATTCAGAATTGTTGCTATGAGAGGAGCATGATTCTGCATGATGTGCTTCCAAATTGTCTTCTATATTGTTTTTATAGTGAACAGTAAGGCCATGGGGGCAAAAAGCCCCTGTGATTGGAAATTA